ACATAAACTCAGACAGTGCAGCTGTAGATGAAAGCGGATGCTCTGACAGAGCTGCCCAGTTCTATACAAGAAAGAGAAGCAAGGAAGCGTGGTCTAAAGAGAGCACGGAAGTCTCCATGGAAGGATATGTTTACATCAACCCCTAGATTTTGGGAGACTTTGAAGGGGTTAGAAATGGTGGGGAAGACTGTTTATGTGGAAGAAAGAATATGAGTGTGGCAAAGATGCAAGAAAGACAATGTCATGTAAATATAATTACTTTAGTTTCAATGGAAATGGGAACTAGAGATAGGGAGATTTTATGTTGTCGCTTGTTTGTCTGATTATTATGTTTAACGTATATAGAATGGAATGTGCATACAGTGTAATCTAGCAGATTTTCTGCATGCTCAAAACAGTGTTCCGGATAGAATAAACTAGACTAGACAAAAAGTGTACTCATAGGGGGAGAAACTGGAGGCAGACATTTACTTGAATTATCTTTACACTATTATAATTCTTTGAAATTCTATGTCATAAAAGGATGTGTTATGCATTTTGAATAAAACACACTGGAATTATCCTAGATCCATTATCCAAAAAAATGTATGACCCAATACGAATGCTAAGGAGAGCAAGAACACACCACGGAAATGTCTTGCCTTTTCCCTTCCAAAATTATTTTTTTAACAATTTGGTGAGTTACTTTTCATTAATATTCACACATTATTGTGAATAATAAATTGGCTCCTAAATTCCCGGGTTTTATTTCCTGTACAGATCTTCCAGAAAGAATGCAGGACCACACATCATCACCTGTAGATGTAACTCACAGGCCAAAGGAGTGAGAAAAGTGTGCTTCCAGTCCCAAAACTCTGCCATTGTCATTGTCTGAAACTGACTTCATCGGCCACACTCCTCTGACTTCAAAAAGAACTGTGAAGTGTGTGATCGTATGTGGACAGTACTGAACCCATACAGATCTAGACATTCTACTAACAAAGGATAGACTAGATGCTTTAGAGTCACCATGACGACCATGGACTGTAGCACTATGTGGAGGAATAACCATGGGAGGCACTTATGTCAGGAGAGTTGGTAAGAGATGGTGATTTTTATATGGAGGAGTGCAGAGATAAAGAAAAGTTGGGATAACTTTTTTTTTTTTTTTTTTTTTTCTGATTTCTGGCTCGGGCTGTTGTAAATGGTGGTACCAATGGTGATACATGCTTCAGGGGACTTTGGCAGTTCATTGTTAGGCATGGTGAGTTTGATGTCACTGTGAGAGACTACTCACAGGACTCCCTTAAACTGGCATGGCAGCAACAATGAATAGATACAAGTTGGCCATGCAACAGTTCCTTGGTGTATGATTCGGTGTCCCGAAAAGTCAAAAGGACAACAACAAAAAAAAGTTAGTTAATTATAATGTCAATTAGCTAGTATAGAATGAAATTCTGAGCAGCTCAGCGGATGGATTTCATAATAAGGAGCATTGCTTAGCTCTCCACACATGCCTGTGTGTGTGTATATGGGTGGGAAACAAACCACATGCTGTCATTCAGCAAACTGCAATTCCACTTCCCCCAGAGAACCTCATGGACAAATTTCACCAGGCAGAGTACACAATCTGCTTCTGACTCACAACATCGAATTGTATTTCTTTACTCGGTTATATACTCTCATATCCTGAATACTACTCTCTCTTTCTAGAATATAGTAGTTTAAATGCTTATTTAAAATATAAAGTATGTTGGCTAACTGAACATAATGAAAAATTAATAAAAAATAAAACAAAATAATTATAGAAATACTAATACTGCAATTTTAGAAACAATAACAAAAACAACAGTAATAATCCTTGTCCCTATGTAACGACTAAGTGCTAAGCTCTGTTCTGCGTGTGCATGTATGTACCTGCGTATGTGCATGCATCTGTGTTATATACCGTGTTGTCTCTTAGTCTAGAAAAAAACCTTTGATAAAAATTCATTTGATAAAAAAATTGATTTGATAAAAATTCATTTCAGATAAAATTTCATGTCTGATTGATGTGTTGTATAATAAGACAATATAAAATATTTCAAAGATACTGTATTTGCATTGGATTTTCTTGTTTATCTCTTCAAATCATGGAAATTTTTCACTTATATTACTACTCTCTTAATATAATCATTTGGGTCAGTAGCATACCCATTCCTAGGGAAAGTCACACTATCATACATTTATGGTATGCATTTTTCATGTCAACTCCTTTAAATAAGCAATGATTTTATTCCATCCATATTTAGAGAAATCCACTGTTAGACCTCTGCCTCTTCTATGAAATTCCATTACAGTCAATTATCAGCAAAGACCATTTAACTGGAATCAATTGCACACCAACCATGTAAGTCGGTATTTGAAGACAGTGCTTATAATAGCTATATCATTTTGGTCATTGATATCATACATTTTTAGAATACATCCAAAAATAAAAGTAGCATTATCTTTTAGTATAAATAGAAGCATGTATATCAGACTTAATATTCCCAGGATTTCTACATTAAACACCTCAAGATAAATATTACTCAGGAAGTAATGATCTATTCTTTTTGTCCTTCATCTTACAGTCAAAATTTTAATATAAAGATGTAATGTAGGAACATACAAATAATTGAATAGATGTGTAGTCTTACTAATTTTATTGAATAGTTTCCTTCTATTTAAATGTAATTTCCCTTCTGTTTAAATTTAAGGAGATATTCTGAATGTTTTATTCATGTACTGAGAGATGTGACAGAAAAATGAAAAGAATATTTTTCAAACTAGTTAAGTCAAATTAGTGCTGCATAATGAATTTTCAAAATGTTGACAAATGTAAAATGGTAAAAAAATATTTGAGCATATTGCATTCACTAGGTAAAGTGCATGGAAGCCTTTCTTTTACCTGGGAGGCAAGTTTGGGATATGACTGTGTTTATAGCTAAAGACTTGGTATCTAATGATGACAGCATCTTCTATAATTAGTCTCCAAACTTCTAGAGGTTAGCATGGTGTAAACTGCATGTTATGTCTCTTTACTTACATTTAGTATTATTAGACAGAGAATATTTAATGTCATATAGAGAGAAAGAGACTATAACTTTATAAGGGTAGCACAGATTTGGAAGATTTTACAGGATATGTAACATTTGTCTTCCCACTTTTAAACATAGTGTTAGGAAGCTCACCATTAGAGTATACCTCTTTGGATTCAAGAACAGATTTCATTCAACATTCTGGATGGCATAGAAGGTATCATTTTATCTATCATTCTAGCATCATGGAAGGATATTCCAGATGCCTGATTGACCAGTTAGGCAAAGATTCTTAAAAGATGGTTGTACACCTGGGTGGCTTAGTTGGTTAAGCACTGGACTCGATCTCAGCTCAGCTCTTGAACTTCAGGTGCCCCATGGAAGTGGAAAGAAAGTAGCAGAACCTAGAAGAGGAAGTAGTTGTTGAATGTATTATGGAGTACTTCTAATATCTGAAGACAAATGTAGACAAAATATTCTTGTAGAGGCAGCACAAACTCTTTAAAAATGTAAATATAATTGATATATTGTGGATAACTTTGGATATCAGAGTCCATAGTCAAAAATACCTTGAACAAACATTTACTGAGAACCTACAATAGGCCAGGGACTACTATGTGATGGGGTTCTGCAGAAAATAGACATTACATATACTTTTTTTTCTTTTTTTTTTTTTTTTTTAAGATTTATTTATTTTAGAGAAAGAGAGACAGGGAAAGGGAGGGAAAGTGTTAAGCAGACTCTGTACCTGTGTGCACAGCCTGACCTGGGGCTTGGTCTCATGACCCTGATATGACAACCTGAGACAAAACCAAGAGCTGGGCATTAACTGACTGTGCCTCTCAGATGCCCCCACACTTCTCACTATGGTGACTTCTCACTATGACTATGGACTTTTGATGAGAATGAGCATAACAATTGAAATCATTAATGGAAAATGGAAAACCAGAATGACAAAATTATTTTTGGCAGTGAGAAAAAGTCAACAACTTTGGATAATGATACATTGAATTTGAGTTCTGAATAATATTCATTGATTTTTTTATTCATAGATTTTAAAGACTAACTTATGATCCACCAGTTCATGGAAGGCATCGATGCCCTTAAATCTCAATCCATGTCCTTACTGAATTTTACTGAGCTGTTGGTCAAACCAGTCAAAACAGCAAGACCTACTTAAACATGTATATACAACGTCATTCAAAGGTTAATCTTTTCATATACCTAACGTTATAGCAAAACAGTGGTCACATTCCAGGCCATCAAAATAGAGTGTAGAGGTTGATTTCATAATGAAGAATCTCAATAATCACTACAATAAAACAGAAAAATACACAGTATTTATATTTTATCAGGGACATACTTGTACATTTGCTTCCCAAAGGGAAAACCAAAACACATTTCATTCAAACTTAAAAGAGTGTTTTTGTTGTTGTTTTTAAGATTCATGGTGCTTGAACTTACAACCCTGAGATCAAGAGTCACATGCTCTACTGACTAAGCCAGACAGGAACCCCAAACTTATGAATAGGTCTTAAAGAAGGCAAATAACTTGTTTTATATGTTATTTATTTTTCATGATTTGCAGCAGTGTTTTCTTAAATTCTCTCTGTGTGTATAAGTATGTATGCATGTATATCTATTTATTGAAGGATAGATCATACATAGTGAATTTGTGCACATATAGTAAAGGGAACACATCTAAACAATTTCATTATTTAGGAAACAATATGATTCTCTATATAAAGAATTAATGAAATATAATTCAATTTTGAGGAGTTAATAAAACTGGCCCAATTAAAATATATTCTCATTTTAACTGAATAAAATTTTCATTTTTTAAATTTAAATGCTGATATTTACAAATTACAGATTAAATTATAAATACAGATTAAGCTAGTTTTTATAGTATATCATTACTTATTATTTTAGAAAGATGTATAAATAATACATTACATTTCATTTCCTTTAAGCTTTATCCAAATAAAAAATGAGACAGAAAATTGAGTGCCAAATGCTATTCATTTATTCAGGTATTTAAAGGATATTATTGAGCAACTACTATATACCAGGCATTGTGTAGCCATTCAGTTTATACAGAGGGCAAAACAACGATTACACATTGGGAAGTTTAAGTTCTGATGAGTTAGAATGACCATAAAAAATAAATTTAGTTCATAAGTTTATAGAATATGTAAAAGATGAAAAGTGATTTGCAAAATACATCAAAGGACAGCACAGTAAGGAGAAATAGGCAAGTCGGGGGTTACTGAGATTTTAAGTACACTGTTCAGGGTAGGTCTCATTTAAAAAGTGACATTTGACAAAAGATTGAACTGCATTTAAGAATACGGAATTAAGACTACATGGAGCTAACAGCTTTCTCAATAGACCAATATCATCAGTTGATTCAAACAAATAAATGGCCATGTTGTAAACCAAGCCCACTTCCAAAGCTGGTTGAGAGTCTGTTGACTTGAACTGCAAAATATGCATCACTCTCATTTTATTATGCTTCTAAATGTAAATGAGTTTGAGATTTATGCCACTGCATTTTAGCTCTATTTTTTTCTATTTTAGGAAAAGAGTGGAGTTCATGATGGGGCATGAGAATCACAGTTTCACCAGTGACTTCATTCTTTCTTTCTTTCTTTATTTTTTTATTATTTTTTAAAGATTTTATTTATTTATTTGACACAGAGAGAGACAGCGAGAGAGGGAACACAAGCAGGGAGAGTGGGAGAGGGAGAAGCAGGCTCCCCACTGAGCAGGGAGCCCGATGCGGGGCTCGATCCCAGAACCCTGGGATCATGACCTGAGCCGAAGGCAGACGCTTAACGACTGAGCCACCCAGGCGCCCAGTGATTTCATTCGTTTAGGACTCTTTTCTTCCTCTCAATCAAGTCTAGTTTTCATCTCCTTTATATTCATCATTTTTATTATGACTATAACAGAAAACACAATCATGATCCTCCTTATCCTCAGGGACTCAAGACTCCATACTCCAATGTATTTCCTGCTCAGCCATCTGTCTCTCATGGACATCTTGCATATTTCCAACATTGTTCCCAAAATGGTCACTGGCTTTCTGTCAGGGAGCAGAATTATTTCATTCGCAGGTTGTGGCTTCCAGATATTTCTATCCCTCACCCTCCTGGGTGGTGAGTGCCTTCTCCTGGTGGCAATGTCTTATGATCACTATGTAGCCATCTGTCACGCACTGCACTATCCCATTCTTATGAAAGACTATGTCCGCATTCTCATGGCTAGAGGGTCCTGGATTGTTGGGACCATCAATTTCATATTCCACACAGCTTATGCACTCCAGTTTCCCTTCTGTGGCCCAAGAGCCATTGATCACTTTTTCTGTGAAGTCCCTGCCATGTTGAAGTTGTCCTGTGTGGACACAACACTCTCTGAACGAGGAGTTTATGTAAGTGGCTTAATTTTTCTCCTTGTCCCTTCCTCCCTAATCCTTGCTTCTTATGTCCAAATTCTCCTTACTGTTCTTCAAATGAAATCATCAGAAGCACGGAAAAAGTCATTTTCTACCTGTTCCTTCCACATGATTGTGGTCACAATGTACTATGGGCCATTTATTTTCACATACATGAGACCCAAATCATACCACACTCCAGGCCAGGACAAATATTTGGCAATATTCTATACCATCCTCACACCCACACTGAACCCTATCATCTACAGTTTTAGGAATAAAGAGATGTTCTTAAGGCAATGAAAAATATGCTCAAAGTCACTTTCTCCATTAAAGATAGTAATAAAAATGCTTGAAGCATGTGTTTTCTATATCAATATTCAATGCTTAGAGATTATCCATTAGTCATATCTTTAGAAAGAAAATCAAAGTTTCTATCCATCAAGAGTGGAAAGTGGATTTTTCCAAACCTCCAATGAAAATAAAAAAAAGTTTTACAGGTATTTGTTTTATAAATACATACATCAAGAAATGTACTGTTCCCTCCCATGAAAAATTCTAAGAACTTATAAAAATTGACTTTTATAATACAATCACATTATATGGGATCTATGCATATAACTTTTGTATTTCATGAAACAGTACAATTATAATTCCAAGGTTACAAGCAGTTATCAAAAATTCATAAAAAAAATATAGGCAAAAAGGGTGCAGGTGTTCAAGAGGTAAAAATTCTAGTTATATGATACATAAGTTAAAAATAAGTAAGTCTTGGAGGAAGGGGCGGAGCAAGATGGCGGATGAGTAGGAGACCTGGATTTCGTCTCCTCTCAGGAATTCAGCTGGATAGGGATCAAACCAATCTGAACACCTACAAACTCAACAGGAGATCAAAGAAAAGAAGAGCAACAACTCTCTCATCAGAAAAGCGACCACTTTCTGGAAGGTAGAATGTGCAGAGAAGTGAATCCACGGCGATATTCGGGAGGATAGACGGTGGGGAGGGGCCTCCGTCGGAGCTTCTGGCAACTGATAGAGCCCTGGGGCACAAAATCGGAACTTTTAAAAGTCTGCTCCGCTGAGGGACGTCACTCCGGTGGCTAAGCGGGGGGTGGAACCCTCCGGGACAGTGTGGTCTCAGGACCCTCAGAGTCACAGAAAGACCAGGGGTGCCTGAGTGTGGCAGAGCTCCCAGGGATTGGCGCAGGGAAACCGGCTGCAGAGGCGGAGCCCAGGCGCAGGCTCTCAGCTCGGGGTCGCCATAAACCGGGATCCGCGGCACAGTTGGGCCACTGCTCCTCCAGCAGGGACCCAACAAGCGGCAGATCCGGGGAGACTCACCTTCCTCCCCCGGGAGGAGCCGCGCGGGAGTGCACCGCAGGGATCTGCTGGGTTTCAAGACTCCACACGGGGTCGGTTGCCAGAGATAGAGGAGCGCGGTCACAGGCCGGGTGAGCACAGAGTGCGGCCGGAGACCAGGGAGACGGGAGTGACTGACGGCTTTTCTCTGGGGGCTCACTGAGGAGCCGGGCCCTGAGTTCTCGGCTCCTCCGGGGCGGATTGGGAGGCCACCATTTTCACTCTCCGCCTCCAAAGCTGTACGGAAAGCTCGCAGGGAACAGAAGCCCCGGAGAGCAAACCCGAGCAGATTACTTAGCCGGGAGGGGGCAAGGGCGGGGCAATTCCACCTCCGGCAAAGACATTTGGAAACCACGGCAACAGGCCCCTCCCCAGAAGATCAGCGAGAACAGCCAGCCAAGACCAAGTTTACTGATCAATGAGAACGGCAGAACTCCAGCGCTAAGGGAATACTGCACATAGAATTCATGGCTTTTTTACCATGATTCTTTAGTCTTTCACACTTAATTATTTTTTAACTTTTTTTTTTTTTGGAATTTATCTTTTTCCCTTTTTAAACCAACATCTTACCAATCCCTTTAAAAAAAAAACATTTTTATTTTTCATTTTTAGAGTCATATTCTATCCCTTCATAGTAGTTACCCATATTTTTGGCTTATATATAGAAGTTGTTCTCTCTTTAAAATTTTGAGATAGTTTCTTCTAACAGATTAAAATATACCCTAAATCTCTAGTATATGGTGTTTTCTATTCCCCTGCCTGATCACATCCTCTCCCCTTTTTTTTTCTTTTTCTTTTTTCTTTTTTTAAATCCTCTTCTTTTTTTTTTCAAACAAATTCTTATCAATTCCTTTTATAAAATTTTTTATAATTTTCATTTTTACAGTCATATTCCATCCCTTCATCATATCAACCCTTATTTTTGTACATATATAAGTTTTTCTTTCTTTAAAATTTTGGGAGGCACTTTCTTTTAAAAGACCAAAATACACCCCAAATCTAGTGTGTGGCACTGATCTATATACCATATAGATCATATTTGATCACATTCTGGTTTTTCTTTTGTTATTGTTGTTTTGTTTTGTTTGTTTTTGTTTTTATTTTTATCTTTTTCTTTTTTTTCCCTTTTTCTTTTTTCTCTCTTTCCCTTTCTTATCCCACTGCTTCAGGTCTTTTCTGATTAGTTTAGAGTATATTTTCTGGGGACGTAGTTACTCTGCTAGCATTTTGTTCTCTCATTAATCTATTCTCCTCTGCACAAAATGACAAGAAGGAAAAAATCACCTCAACAAAAAGAACAAGAGGTAGTACCGACTGCCAGGGACCTACTCAATATGGACATTAGTACGATGTCAGATCTAGAGTTCAGAATCATGACTTTAAAGATACGAGATGGGCTTAAAAAAAATACAGAAGTTACTAGAGAAACCCTTTCTGGAGAAGTAAAAGAGCTAAAATCCAACCAAGTAGAAATCAAAAAAGGCTATTAATGAAGTGCAATCAAAAATGGGGGCGCTAACTGCTAGAATAAATGAGGCAGAAGAGAGAATCAATAATATAGAAGATGAAATGATGGAAAATAAAGAAGCTGAGAAAAAGAGAGATAAACAACTACTGGATCACAAGGCCAGAATTCGAGAGATAAGTGATACCATAAGACGAAACAACATTAGAATAATTGGGATCCCAGAAGAAGAAGAAAGAGAGAGAGGGGCAGAAGGTATAATGGAGCAAATTATAGCAGAGAACATCCCTAATTTGGGGAAAGAAACAGGCATGAAAATCCAGGAAGCACAGAGAACCCCTCTCAAAATCAATAAAAATAGGTCAACTCCCCGGCATCTAATAGTAAAACTTACGAGTCTCATAGACAAAGAGAAAATCCTGAAAGCAGCTCGGGAGAAGAGATATGTAACCTACAAGGGTAGAAACATTAGATTGGCAACAGACCTATCCACAGAGACCTGGCAGGCCAGAAAGGACTGGCAGGATATATTCAGAGCACAAAATGAGAAAAATATGCAGCCAAGAATAATCTATCCAGCTAGGCTGTCATTGAAAATTGAAGGAGAGATAAAAAGCTTCCAGGATAAACAAAAACTAAAGGAATTTGCAAACACAAAACCAGCCCTACAGGAAATCTTGAAAGGGGTCCTCTAAGCAAAGAGAGACCCTAAAAGCAACATAGACCAGAAAGGAGCACAGACAATATACGGTAACAGTCACCTTACAGGCAATACAATGGCACTAAATTCCTATCTTTCAATAGTTACCCTGAATGTAAATGGGCTAAATGCCCCAATGAAAAGACACAGGCTAACAGACTGGATTAAAAAACAAGATCCATTGATATGCTGTCTGCAAGAGACTCATTTTAGAACCAAAGACACCCCCAGATTGAAAGTGAAGGGGTGGAAAACCACTTACCAGATCTCTGATTCATTTCTTGGGTGTTCTGAATGAATTGATAAGTATGTAGTTGGATTTGAGGGAGGAGTTCCCCCCATAACTTTCTGATTGGATGCAGGACAGGAGGACTGTGAACCTGGTGATAGGCTGGATTTTGTAATCGTCCTTCTAGGAGAGCTGAATGCTGCTTTGACAAGCAGGTAATGAATTGTGATACAACTTCATCCTTTCGAGGTTTAGGTGTATTGTGAGAAGATGGACCAAACATAACGCCTACCATTCTCTAAACTTCTATTTCAGCTTTGATGGGTGACTTGACAGTAGGATTTCCCTAGTGCCATGTTGTCCCCCTTACACCACAACAGTGATGTGTCATAGGGTCTAATGTCCCATGTCTTCACTAACATCGGTGTCAGCGTTTTAGGGAAAGGTGACTCTGTGTGACACATTTAGCTTTCTACTGGTTGAGTCTCTCAGCCTCACCATGACCTTCACTATGGATTCATCCCAAATAAAAATTCTTCATCTTGAAGGAAAGCTTATCTATTTTCTTTTAAAATGTTTCTAGGCAATGATGTCAGGAAGGTCACTGAGATAGCCATCAGTCATTAGGCCAGCCAAACTGCATGGTGATTGGCCACCCAAAGGAAGCCAACGTGACAGCGCCCTGGTGATTGGCCAGGGCATGGTGGTGACATCACAAGAAGGCATTCTCATGCCCCAGAGCTGTTTTCAAAGCTCGGCAACAGCCACGGCTGCACGGAGGAGAGAGATGGCGCATCAGCTACAGCTCTTCCTGCTATTCCTAGCATTCTCTGACCTTTTTTCTGCCCTGCCCATGGCAAGCCCCCTGCCCACTCCTCCTGCCCTGGGCCGTTCACCAACACTCTGCAGTCCACCTTCATGTTTGCACCTACCTTTGCACCCCTGTGTGGTCCTGAGGTCCTCAAACCTTCATCCGGCAACTCCTGGACCCTTTTCCCACTATGAGGATGGCCCAGCTGCTCAGGAACACATCTCATTTGGCACATGGCAGTGGGACACTGCAAATCAGGTCACCATGGGTTCTCAGCCAGCTGGTCCCCACACCTTTGGGTTCACAACAGGGCTCAGCACAGGAAAGCTGAGTCCACAACCTGAGGGAGCACTGGGCACATTACTATTCTGGAGCCCTCCAAACCAGCTCAGCACAGGGACCATGAATGAATTGAATGTCCATCCGTCCCTGATGTCGACAGTGTTTAGAACGCCTACAGACACGAGGGAGAGTGGGACTTTTACAAAACAAGTAAGTACTGGGGGAAGGAATCACCACATCATTGGACACAGTGCAAGTCCTTGGACCACAAAACCTGAGACCACGAGCTGGCTGAACCAGTTCAGCAGTGGACAAAGTAACCCTCCAGACACCTGGCTGACCAGGAGCCCACAGACCACAAACCCTCCAACAAAGTATAACAAGCAGAAAGTCAGTCCCCGTAAGAGAGCACCAACCAGGAACCCAAAGACTGGGAGTCTTCTGAACCAATTTGACACTACTGGGCAGATGAGTCACACAGACACTGGGTGGACAAGGAGTCCTACCACAAACAGGCCACTCCAGTGTAGCACAAGGCAAGTAAGTCCAGAGAATACCAGCCTTGCCAACGGTCAGGAAACCACGAGTCCTGCATCCCAGCTCAGTATTGGGAAAAGGATTCACCTGAATAACACCATCAGCATATGCCCTTGGAACTGGAGTCTAAAAACTCAGCTCTCTACTAGGACAGGCAGGCCCCTGGAGAGTGGGCTTCTCACGTGCCCTTGGATCTGGAAACCAACACCTCAGGTCTATCCTGGGCCTAGCAGGCACCTGAACAGCAGGCTCACCATGTGCCCTTGGACCTGGAGACCAAGAAAGGAGCCCTGGGCTAGGCCAAGCAGACAACTTGACAGTAGGATCACCATGTGCCCATGGACCAGAAGACCAAAAACTCATCTCTCTGCTAGGCCAAACAGGTACCTGAGGAGCCAACTTATCATGTGTCCATGGACCTGGAGACCAACAACTCAGCACATTACTAGGCCAAGCAGGAACCTGGACAGTAGGCTCACCATGTGCTCTTGGACCTGGAGACCAACAATGCGGCTCTGCACTAGGCCAAGCAGGAACGTGGACAGCAGGGGCACCAGGTGCCTTTGGCCCGGAGATCAACAACACAGCTCTCAATTAGGCCAAACAGGAAC